TTTTTTTTTTTTTTTTTTTGTAACTTTTTTGAAAATAAAATTTATGTAGATTATGTTAATTTATTTTTACGAACATAAATAATGAAAAATCACTAAATCTATCTTATTTTTACACATGCACCACATGAAAGAATGTTTTTTAATTGTTTTAGTTGTAGGATTTAATTTTTGATTGTCAAATCTTTTTGTTACTGTTAGATTTACTCATATTCGATCGCAACCGTTGAATTTAATGTACTTATAAATTTGATTTAAAAAAATAAATTGAACCTGGACATGTGTTGAACCATTGGTCCAAGTATGTGGGCCTCTGATTAAAAAAATAGTTGTTGGTGTTTTTGCAAGTGGTCGACAACGTCAGCAACTCGGTCACATCCACTAACCTTAGCTAATTTTTTGGGCTTAATTTGGGCCAAAAATAAGTTTTAACCCAAAACTTAATAAGTTTTAACGCAAAACCTTTTTTTAGTCCAATGATTGGAAAAACTTTGAGTTTGTTTAAAACTCAAATTTTGAGTTTTATTCCAACCACTGGAGTTGATCCACTTGGAGCATACTACAACCTCAGGTGGCAAAGAGCCAACATCAAGGTGCCAAACCTTCCCGTCAATGTGAACCCTTGGAAAAGATCAGTCTGTTATCCCTAAAGTAACTTTTATCCATTGAGTGATAGTCCTAAGTACTTGAAGGGTTTAACACATAAATTATAGAAGGAAACATCATGTTCTATCTTTTTACCAAAGGGCCAATGAAAACCATTGTTAGGTAAGAACATCTCCAGGCTTAAGGTTTAAAATTTGAGCCCCTGACCCACAAAAAACTCCTCCAACAGATGGCCCAAATTTAGGTCCAAACAAAAAAAATGAAAACTATAGGTTTGAGTCAGTCTTCTTTAAACCTGATCTCTTTAAATACGACACGTTACATAAAAACGAAGTTTGAGAAACTAACGCACTTCACACCACACTCGGCAAGGGAGCTTTCATTTGGAAAGTGGTTTTATTTTCCACATACCCTTTCTCTTCCACTGCACACTTCATGTTTATTTCCTTTTCCATTTTACTATCCGGAAATTTACTACTAAAACTTTTTTGATCTCACTCTCATACATAAATACTATTTTTCCTGCCATTCCAACGTCTGTTAATCGATTCGTTAGTCTATCTGTTGATCTACACGCGGAGACAAACGATTGTAAAATATGTGTCAATGTGTACCAATTGTTTTTGTCATTGGACGATTATAACTGACGTGGCAGGTTTAGAATAAGGGAAGCAAATTATAGGGGAGAAAAAACCAAACAGTGGATATCCGATCCACTTCATATTTGGGTCATGTCAGTCAACGACATATAATTTGTTAAGCAAATGTAACCCCGCAAATTTTGTTTTATTAATTTAATTTTTCAAACTAATGAAAATCTGATACTCAGATATTAACAGAACCCACATGTTTAGGAGAAAAATCAGATTTCTAACGTCCATATTTCAACAAGTCATTGACTGAACTGGGTATGTGAGTTCAAACGTCCATATTACCACAAGAAGCTTCAACTCAATTTGTAACTCACTCTCTCACACCTCACTTTTTCCCAGTAAGTCTGCCTCTCTCTTCTCCTTCTTTAACCTATAGAATATGTTAAATATTTACTGTCCCAGATTTTGATATAGATTTTTTTTTTTTTTTACGTTATCTGGATCACGTTTTTACTTGCATCCTCAGTAGTAGTAAATGCATAATTATGAGTAATGAATGTGGATTTTGCATGCCTTAGTTGTTTGAATTCTTAAATTTTACCTCCTTTTGTGTTCTTATTGAACGTGAAATTTTTTGCATATGTAACATTGAGTCATATGAACAGTGAGCAAAAAGTGAGAGAATGAGTAACAAATTGAGTTGCAATTCATATTGTCCTCACTAAGCGAGCCCCTTACAGTTAATTTATTAATTTTTTGAAAAAGCTATCATCAACAGTTCATGTGTTTGTGCTGAACTATTCTCACCAGGCCAAAAACCCTTTCAATTTCTTTCTTTTCTCGATTTACGTGTGTCATTCTTGCACATGGATCATGCTAACCTTCAATTACAGAACATACAGTAGTATTTGAAATTACAGTATGGATATATACGTTGCCATTTGAAACAACCCTATCTGTTCATGTTATACCTTATTCTGTATGGCTGGTACAAAAGGAAATACAGTTTTATTGGTGAAGAGGTCATTGCAAAGCCAGAGTCGAACGTCGGAAACTTCCCTACTGTAAACGCTGCAGTCAAAGGAATCACCAAAGATGGCAAAGAGACAATGCAAAGATTTGTCATCCTGGTAAAATAAAGGCTGAATTTATATAAAATTATTTTTTATTTGAAATTTATATGTATTTTTCACTCAATTTGTTCCCCTTGCCGTTTACTTCTTTTTAGGTTGTCTAAGCCTACATTGGCACCAGATTTGCAACTCAACGTACTTGGTGCGCCGTTCATGGACAAAGTAAGTGTTCTAAAAACCGTAATTCTACCGCAGTTTTTGTTTACCGCGACATATTTATGAACTCCTTTTCTATGAGAGAATGAAGGCCAGATGTTCTATAATTTTTCTTGGGTAATAATAATCGTTGTTTGCAGGTTCTTCTGGCTGAAAAATCAGCCAAAGTTGCTGCATTTCTCAAACAGAAATCGCAGGATGATCTTTCTTGCTTCCTTAGAAATATCCCTGCTGACACGGACACTCTTGAGCTTGTTGCCAGATTCTACCACGGCTTTGAAATTCAGATGTCCACTGAAAATATTGTACCTCTCATTTGTGTAGCTCACTACTTGGAGATGACTGAAAACCACAGCAAAAATAATCTGTTAAGTAAGGCGCTTTCTTATTTTCAAGAAAGAATCCTCCCGAGCTGGAATGAAACTGTGAAGGCTTTCCGAGCCACAGAAAAGTTCCTCCAACAGTCTGTGAAGCTCGGTTTAATCGATGCCTGTATAGATTCTATCATTCAAAAGGCACTAGCTAATCCCAGCCTTCTCGGAGAGCCAATCAAGAATTTGATGAAGTATGATGACAATAGTGAGGATGATGACGAAGAAGGCTATAGGCCGAGCGCAAGGAGAAAGCTCTTTGTTCTTGATTGGCAATCGGAAGACTTGACAACACTGTCCCTCCGGATCTATGAGCCTGTCATCCTTGGAATGAAAAAGCATGGCGTTCCATCGCGGTATGTGGCTGCATCCCTTTGTAACTATACAAAGAAATGGGTTTTCTCTAGCAGCGGAGAGGAAGGTAAGATGAACTATCAAAGGGAAATCCTTGAAGCAGTGGAGAGGTTGTTGCCTCATGACATTGGACTACTTCCATGCACATTATTGTTTGAAATCCTCCGTTCCGCTATTCTTTTGGAAGCGAGTTCTGACTGTAGAAATGGGATTGAGATCAGAATCGGAAGACAACTGGATCGGGCAACAGTCAAAGACCTCTTGATACCATCTCAAGGCTATTCCAAGGAAATGCAATACGAGATTGGGTGTTTGAGGCGGATACTGAAAGTGTTCTATGGAAGTTTTACTTCTTCAGACGTATCCGGGCTAGTTGCAGTAGCTGAACTCATTGAAGAATTCTTGGCTGAAATTGCCAGTGACATAGATCTGAAGATAGGTACATTTGTTGAATTAGCAGAGATGTCGATTGCAGCATCGTTGGGTATACAAAGAACCTCAGATGGAATATACAGGGCGGTTCATATCTATTTAGAGAAGCACAGGCACTTGACAGAGATGGAACGAGAGGAAGTGTGTCAGGTTTTGGATTTCAAAAAGATGTCGTCCGAAGCATGTGAACACGCTACCAAAAATGAAATGTTGCCTCTGAGGGTGGTGGTGCAGGTGTTATTTGCAGGGCAGTTGCAGCTGCGGGATACGATCATCAACGAGGTGCAGGGTTCAGACGAAAGATCAACAAAGGAGGCTGCGGAGGAGAATGAAGCAAAGTTGGATGTTGGTGAGGGAGAAATGAAATCCGAGATGGAGAAAATGAGCATAAAGGTGATGGAGCTTGAAAGAGAGTGCTATAAGATGAGGAAAGAGATTGATAATGGCTGCAACCCCAAGGTGAAGAAGGAGAAAACTAGCTTGTGGAGAGAAATGAAGAGGAAGTTCGGGTGCATCAACAGCGTGGGCAATTCTAACTGCCAACTGAAGAAGAAGAAGAAGAAGAAGGTGCATCCAAAACATGGAGTGTGACATGTAGATTCTTCTTCCATCTAAGACTTCTTTTGGCAAATATCTAGCAATTCATTGATTTATTTTTCAGCTTTGATCCTCGACTTAAAAAATAAATCCTTTTTCTGCTTTGTCTAAGTACAGCTTCAACTTTATCTAGTCTAACCCTACTTTTGCAAATAATCTGGTTATTTATTGATATGAATAATGAAAGAGAATTAAGTTATCTGCAAATCAAGAAGTTGATTTTGAACTTCATTACAGAAAGAAGTTCGTGTTCTTGAAAGATAGAACGCAACTAGAACACCGAGGTTCACGAAAAACAGAAAAGAAATTGGGCAATCTGAACTACATTGTACTAATAAGCTTGAGAAAATCAAGTTACAACAAAGAAAACCTTTCCTCTTTTGTTAGTTCCCTTTCTAGCGTCAAACTATATGCATATATATGATCATTGTTGCAAAACATTTTTACATGGTTCCAATTTACCTCTAAAATTTGTTTTCCTGCGTTCTTCAGACAACATTACCACTGCCACACCGAGAATGGACTCCAAACTCACCTCCCCATATACATAATATTGTCCTTGAGTTTTCGTTCCCCGTGGCAAGAGAAGGAAGTTATACATAGTTGCATATGATTCTTTCCATGATTGAAGCCAATTAAAATCTCTCAATTCCATTCCATTCCATTCCACGACAATTGCAATGAGGCTAGTCTATTCGCCGGGGGACGGAGATATATATATCGATACTACTCGGCAACATCCATGCTGTTGTAAAAAGAAATCAAACCATTAATCTCAACGGCATTTCACTATCTTTAGAACCAACTGAATCATTGATCGCATTATGATGTTCCATGTCTATGGCTTGATGATGGTTGTCTTTCCCATTCTGGCCTCCGTGTCCACCCTGATCTTCGTTCCCCATTACAACCACCGCGGCAAACTGCACCCTTCGGTCACCATTAGGTGAATGAACAGGGGAGTCTGTAGCTGATGATGCAATGCCAGCTGTCAATGCGCCGCTTGTGGTGGGGATGGTGGCTGCCCGGCTGCTGCCTGCCTTGGCATAGTGACCGCTGTCCCCAGTATGCAAGGCAGCAGCGGGCCTAAAACATCTGTAGATGCATGTCGTGATCCAAAACGCCCATGGAATAGCCACAAGCACCATTCCTGCAGGGGGGAACCATGGTTGGGATTTTTCTTCAGGTAGAAGCATGTAAAGGAAAAGAAGTACTCCGCCGGCAATAATGCAGATGAAGAAAAGGCCGGAGATGACAGAGACTCGAGCATCTCCTTTCCTTTCCTCCATTGAAGGTAAAGAAAGAGCGAACGGGATCTTTCTTCTGCGGCGTGACCGATAATGTTTTCTGAGTTTTGTGTGATTGTTTTTGTGTGTTGGATATTGTCTCTCTTCGTTTTTAGTTTGGTTAGACTGGGTCGAGTTGTTGCCGGAATCCAACAAAGTGGTGGATGGGAATTATGGTGGACACATCAGGTGGTGAGAAGGTTTCAAAACATAGCGGTGAAAGCGGGGCTGGTTTGTAACTGCAATGCATTGTTATTAACTGACTAACGAGTTTTATTTATGCACAAAACAAGAGTTTAAAAGATATAATGACGACGACGAAAATGACGAAATGAATTGATGATGTACTCTAGTATGTACAGTTAATTATAGGATGCGATTTTTGTGCTCTTATTTAGTAAATTTACAATTTCTTATTACTTTTTATTTTATGTAAGGCGATGCTTTGTGTTGGGGGGGGGGGGGGGGGGGTGGGAGAGAGAGAGAGAGAGAGAGATTCTCTCTACTGCTTTCAGCCTTGTTATGTTAGTTGAATTAACAGAACTAGTCTTATTTGCTTTTGGACTTTCTAGGACCTTCAACACTCGCTAACTCAAACCTCCAAACTCCACAAGAGTTGATAAAGAAAATCGCTGAATGTATGATCTAGTGACACACAATGTCAAATTTATTCGATGAAAGTGGTCCTGAGTCTTTTAGATAGGACATTTCATTACATGTTAAATAAAAACATTTACATTGCTTGCTGGAGCATTAAAGAGCCAACTCCATCGCTGTTCTCTCTCAGGCCAAATTTACGCAAAAGAACAGGATATCTCTACTCAAAAATTTCTGGATCAGTCATTCGAGTATTGGTCATATGACACTGCACTCCACTCGTCCCATCCCAAGTTGGACCAGCTCCACTCCCACCTCCGATTATTTCATAGTAACCAAATGTATTGTCCCCAAAAGTGAGATTATTCATACAACCCTGTGAAGAAGTACAAGCCTAAAATAAAGTAAGCACAACATCAGTTATTCTCTGAGAAGTGAGAACGTTACCACCCACGACAGCAGCTTTATCACTTGGAGAGAGGAAAGAGCCTGGTGGAGTACAGATTTTCACAGGAGCCAAACAACCTTAAGTTAGAGGAATATCAACATCCACCAAGCAGTGAAGACAGCATATAACTGCTGCAGCTGTTACAGCTTCTGGAGCATTCCAATTCCCATATACTTCAGGACTAGTTCCACTGAAATCAAAATTTGCTTCCCCTTTCATAGAATCAATTGTAAGTTTTAAATGAATAACAGACCCATTATCCATGTAATGCTCTTCTTCAATAGTAACAGAACTCTGATCTCCGGAACTAGTCGACTGAGATAAAACTCTAGCAGCAATAGATTTAAGCTTTTCTCTCACTGCTTCTTCTGCATTTAGCTGTACATAGGTCATGTAAGCCTGAACAGTGTCTAAACCACACTGCTTGATAAGTTATTTGATAAGGGTAATTCCCCTCTGGTTCGCAGCTACTTGAGCTCGAAGATCTGATAAATTATCTTGAATCCTGCGAGTTCCTAGGATCTTTTGAGCCAATTCATCAGAAGAGGGGAATCGAAGAAGTTGAATGATTCCTTCTTCTCGAAAATTTCCTTTTCCCCAAGCTTGAACGCTTTTATGGCAACACCTTCTTCCCATATAGACTTGGAAAAATGTGGCATGCTTCCAGGAGTAATACCCCCAATCTCTGCATGATGCCCTCAGTTGACGACCTGGATACTGTTTGCTGCTTCTTAGAAAGCCACGAGATTAGATTTGAACCCAAAAATATCTCAAAACCAGTAGTAGATCTTCTATCATTAGGGTCTCTGACCCAATCAGCATCAGAAAATGCTCTCACAGTGTCTGAATTAATTTCAAATCCTCCTGAACATACCTAATACCCAAACGGACAATACCTTTGAGATATCTGAGTATCCTCTTGACTGCACTAAAGTGAGATTCCATGGGAGTTTGCATGAACTGACATACTTGATGCACGACAAAGGCTATATCTGGCCTAATGAATGTTAGATACTGCAAAGCATCAACCACACTTCTATGAAATGCTGGATTGTTATAAGGTTTCCCATCATTAAGAACTAATCGATTGTAAGGCAGACAAAGGGTTGAACAAGGCTTAGAATCAAGCATTTCAGTCTTTGTGAGGAAGTCCTTAACATACTTTTCCTGTGATAAAACCCAACCATCATTCTGTGAAATAACTTGAATTCCCAAAAAGAAATGCAGAGGACCTAAATCTTTTATATCAAACTCCTTTGTTAAGGTAACAATCACATCATTGATCAAACTTGGAGTATTCTCAATAATGATAATGTCATCCACATAGTAAATCAATAGTACAACAGAAGAGCCAAATTGTTTCACAAATAAAGATGGATCTGCATGAGTTGTTTTGAAACCAAATGATGGCAAAAAACTTGTAAACATGTCATTCCAGGCTCTGAGGGCCTGTTTTAACCCATATAGAGACTTGTTAGTTTGCAAACATAGTCAGAGTGTTGAGGATCACTGAAACCTAGAGGTTATGTCATATACACCTCTTACTGTAGTACTCCATGCAAAAATGCATTCTTAACATCGAGTTGTCTCAAATTCCACACAAAATGAGCTGCCATAGCCAACACAAGCCTCACAATTGTTGGCTTAACAACTGGGTTGAATGTTTCCCCATAATTTGTGCCTTCCTTTTGATTGAATCCTTTTGCCACTAATCGAGCTTTATATCTCCCTATGAACCCATCAACATTCTTTTTAATCTTAAACACCCATTTACAACCCACAATGCTTTTCTGTGCAGGAAGAGGAACTAGACTCCATGTAGACTGAGTATAAAGTGCATCTAATTCTTCTTTCATTGCATCAACCCAAACTTTACACTTCAATGCAGATTTGTATGTTGTAGGTTCAATAGTAGAGAGATCCACAATCCCACTTTCCTGAACTGTGGCAAGAAATGCCTTCTTTTTGGAAATACCACTCTTTGATCTGGGTTGCATTGGATGCAAATTCAATGGAGGAATAGATAACATTGCTTGAATACTATCAGGTTGAAACTCAGAAACCATAAAGTTCTCAATTGGAACCTCTGGAGCCACATGGATATGTGTAGATGAAGATTGTTCACTTGCATTGATGGATTGTGTTGAAGGTAGTAGGTTAGGATCAATGGATAATGGTGATGATGGTGAGACTAGCACATTATCAAGATTAGGCATTGATGGTTGTATACTTGGTTTTGACACTTGTGATGTATGGAGACTTGGTGCATTGATTCAATAACTGAATAAGGAAATTCAGATTCATCAAACAAAACATGCCTAGAAATATAAACTTTCTTTTTGATGACTTCATAACATAGGTAGCCCTTGTACTTTGATGCATATCTCATAAAAATGCACTTAATTGTTCTAGGTTGTAACTTTGTAGAGGTTAAAGGTCTTAAGAGTGGATAACAAGAGCAACCAAAGACTTTGAGGTGACTGACATCAGGGACGGAACCATATAGCATTTCAAATGGTGATTTCTGATTCAGAGTTTGTGATGGCATTCGATTAACAAGATATACTGATGTTTGACATGCAAAAGACCAAAATGGTGCAGATAGGTGAGATGTTTGTAGAAGAGAAGAGTGATTGTAGTTTCAATAATGTGACGATGTTTACCCTCAGCTAAACCATTATGTTCTGGTGTGTATGGACAAGATAAGTGGTGACTAATGCCTTTGGCAGCAAGAAAGGTTTGTAACTGGTTCCCTATATACTCACCCCCTCCATCTCTCTGAAGTGTTTTAATAAACACTGAGAAATGATTAAGTACAAACTGATAGAAGGTAATAAATGTGGGACAAACATCAGCTTTATTGACAAGTGGAAAAATCCAACAAAATCGAGTACATTGTTCTATGAAGGTAACATAGTACTTAAAACCTTCTATAGACAGACATGGGACATGACCCCATACATCACTGTGTACAATATCAAAAGGTTTGACAAATTTGTATGTGGCTAAATCAAAGGGTAGCTTGCTAATTTTACCCTCAATACAACTTGAACACATCACATGTAGAGAATCAGAAATGCTAGATACATTTGATTTCTTAAGCTAATTTTGGTACGTTTAAATAAATTATCTGAATGTACCAGCCTCAAACCTCCAAAAATAGAGAATACGTCTAATTATCTCACATGATATCAATATAAAATAGTGAAAACAACCACTAATTGAAATGGATAAGTCCATTCAAAATTCAAAAATGAGGATCACAGAATTCTAATGTGGGAGAAGAAACCATACGACTCAAACGTGGGTGAAGAAATTGCCTTCCTTAAAAAAAGGCCATGTACAAAAATATATCAACCTAAAACGATATATATGGTGTGACGACCCGTCCCAATTTATTGTATATATTTTATCCCCGTGTATGTAAGTGACGTTTATACCCTCGTTGGCTTGGTGATGTGGATGTACGTATATAGTTTAAATTGTACTCGACGTCATAAGCGTGTTTACGCAAGTTAGGGTCGAATTAGGTTTGTAACGAAAATGTTACGAAGGAATAAGTGAAATTGGGTTGGTTTTATTTCTAGTGGGCTCATTTTCTTGAGCCTTAAACATTGTAGCCCCATCAGGGCTTAAGATCCTTTTATCTAAGCCTAACCGTGACCACACGCACACACCCACACACATATACGTACCTTCACCCTCCCCTTTTTCTCTCGATCTTTCCTTCGTTTGTATGACCGAACCCTTTAACTTTCAAACACCATCACACACACACAGATCGAACTTATGGATAACGTTTTCGTACTCCCCTTGACTTCACGAGTTTAGCCATACCATTAGTTTGAAGGGAAGACGTGTCGAACTCGAGAAACCTGAGCTCCAGCGAGGGATCCAGTTTCCTCCGACATGATCGCGAAGGATTCACTTGGTTTTGAGACTTAAAAAGGTGTTCTTATACCTTCCCTAGCAACTTGGAACAAGTTTTAAGTGGATTGGACGTCGGAACACATGGATTTAGGAAGTTCCAGTTTAGCCGGAATTTTCCAGAGATTTTTCGACCACTTTTTGTCGGTTTTAGGACTTCAAATAGGTAAGAATTTGTTCTACTCTCTGAGAGCTTCAAATCCATATAAAATTCATTGATTTTGGTTAAGTTTTGAAGGAGATATTGAGGTTCAAAAATTTTCCAGAAATCGATGACTCAGAGGCGATCGGTGCCGGAATCCGGTGAACCACCAAAGAAGGAGGGAGAATATTCTGTTAACTTTGACGAAATATATTGACAGTGTCAGGTAACTTTAACGGAATATTCTAATATTTAACAGAATATTCCCTAATGCCGTTAGGGAATCCGTCAGTGTGTCAGGCATATGCCTGCTCGTAGCAGGCACGTGAGGCCATTTGGGCCTTCTGAAAATTATTCTAAAAATATTGGGATGCTCGTGGTGTTGAGTATGCCACGATGGCATATTCAAATACCCCAATTGAGCAACGTATGAGAAGTTGTTACACGGTTTTGGTTATGTGCTTAAAATTAACGTTAAAATGGTTATTTCACATATAGGTGAGACGTTTCCGGAGGACGAGCGCAGCCAGGCGAGACCGGGGGTTACGACCCTTCTACATATTAGTTAGTGGGTTTTTGGTGTGTGTGTATATATATATATATGTATGTATGTATGTATGTATATGTATATGCGTTTCCCAGAAACTATTTTTAAACAAAATTTCGTTTAAAATGCCATGCCATGTTTGCTTTACATTTTAGCATATGTATTAGTATAGCTTTGCATAATATTGCATGATGCTGCGGAGGCCTAGGTAAGTTTAGGTGAGTATATATTGACGGTATGGTTGCATGGTAATTGATTATGAGTTGATGCACATAGAGCTCATTGTCCTGCACCCCGGTGTTAGTGCTCCGCCTATGGCCAAGGCCTAGCCTTCATGTGATCGTTCACCTCCCGCACCACATGCTCAGCTTGGATCCAAGTCAGGTGCCAGCCTGTCATACAGACCACATTAGGTGGTTCTGACTCGTAGGTGACCTGTGATTCGTCGCACAGCCTTCACGTGATCGTAACACTTGAGCGTACTTATTTACACCCAGCTTGTCGTACATACCACATTAGGTGGTTTTGACTTGTGTGCAGGTTTAGTGCCATACAGGTCACACTAGGTGACTCCGGTTTGATTGATGAGCAATAGGTTCAGCCGTATAGATCACGTTAGGTGACTCCGGCTGGCATATCACTTTTACATTGATTTATATCACCTGGCTTACATATTTACTGCTGAGATAGTGACATGGCATATACTTGGTTTCCATTGCTTTCGTGAATGTATGTATGTAGCATTATTTTCTAGGAAATTATACGAGTTTTACGATGAGGGGTTATTACATTTTTAAAGGCAAAGATGTTTTCAAAAACTTTGTTTTTGCCCACTCACACTTTCTGTTTGGCGCCCCTTCAAGTTCTAGATAGAAGTTCGTGTTGGTGGCTTGCGAGGGTTCTACGGCGGTTTTGACAGACTTCAAATAATGTAGGGATTTCTTTCATGTCTTGTATAATTAATGCTTA